GAAGCTTCCCTTCCTACGAAAAAAAGAGAAAAAAAATATATATAAATAAAGTGAAATAATATTCCAATTCTAAATTCAATTCCGAAGAAACCTCTCTCTTTCTCTACCGTTAGAAAAATGTAAGCCAAAATTCCAATACAAAATTATTTGCACGTGTAAAGTACTTTTATTTTCATGTTGACTGGTCCTACTGGTTGAAACCATCCAATGAAAAAAAAAAAAAGTATAGTCATCGTCCTCAAACACAATATATATATATATATATATATATATAAAAGGAAGTTTGTTTATTTTTACAAGAAATTTAATGGTGATATTTATTTTGTATTATTGCGCCATTTTTTGTAATAAACATACAACAATATATGCACGGTTTCATAAGTGATTTAGTAACTTTGTCAATTGCAAATTATTGTTTAGTAATACAGGTAATTATGCCACCCAAGAAACGCCCTTTCTATGGAAAGTCTTCTGCCGCTAAAAGAATGCAAGCACAAAGAGCAGCTGAAGCAGATGAAGAACGCAATCAAAGACTTCAAGCACAAGCTGCAAAACAGGCTGCTCAAATACAGGAAGAGAATTTGGAACAACGTAAAGTTAGACTTCGAGTTCAAGCTGAAAGGCAGGCTACTCAAAGACAGTAAGAAACTGTTGAGCAGCACAAAGCCAGAGTTCAGTCAGAATCATCAAGGCAAGCTGGATATAGACAACAAGAAACTTCTGAACAACAGAGAGCAAGAAACAGAGGAGCAACATGACGTACGACTTCAGGCTGAAAGAACAAAACAAGCTCAAACACGACCTAATTTCAAATAAAGCCTTGTTTGATTAAATGCTTTTTTATTTCTCGCATCACAGCTTTCGTCAACTTACTGAATAATTTGCTGAAAAAATACTGATCTATACATTTCAAATCTAAATTTTTACCGTGCAACGCCGGGTAACTCAGCTAGTCTTGAATAACAGAAAAAAAAACAGAAGCCAACGTTTGCATCTAGCAGATCAATCGGCCTCAAACATTTGTTTGTTTGAAGTTAAGTACAAAGCTACACAATAGGCTATCTGTGCTCTGCCCACCACGGGTATCGAAACCCGGTTTCTAGCGTTGTAAGTCCGCAGACATACCGCTGTGCCACTGGGGGGGCGCCTCATACATTATGATAATGTTACACGTTTCGTAATCCGGTTTTTTTTTAAAGAAATATCCACGATAAAACATTTTTTAGGAAATAATGCGGTTTTGAACAAAATCGGAATGTACGAGTATGGTAAACAGAGTCTATGGCTTGAGGAAACTGTTCATTAAAGGTTCAATTTATAAGCACGGCAATTTTATTTTTCAACATAAAATATTTATTCGTCATAATCTCGTTACGTGAATCTAAGATGTCGCCCGTGATTCACTTCAGCTAAAATTAATCGAAAATCCAATTTTAAATTCTCAAAGCATTTACTTGAAACATAAAGAAAACCATCGAGATTTTTCATTCCAGTTAACTACCCACATTAACACATTTATTTCCTTCTAAATCTTTGTTCTAAGACGTTCGTTCAAGTATGAACACACTAATTAAAAACTTATCTTTAAAACATACTGAATAAAATTTGTTTTCAACTGCTCCACGTGCAGCCACTCTATAACATAATATACCAATCAGCGATTGTTTTAAGAAAACCACTTTACAACACCAGGCAGATATAAACTTCCAGGTGCTTATAATGATCGACGATTCTTCTCAATTTAATAGTAATCTCTAAACGATCTTCTCTAATTTTCCACAACCCAACAGTGACCAACTTATGTTCTTCCAAATATGTTTTCTAGTGATTTTCCATAACAGAACAATAACCAACTTGTTCTTCCAGACAGATTTTCTAGTGATTTTCCATAACAGAACAATAACCAACTTATGTTCTTCCAAACAGATTTTCTAGTGATTTTCCATAACAGAACAATAACCAACTTATGTTCTTCCAGACAGGTTTTCTAGTGATTTTCCATAACAGAACAATAACCAACTTATGTTCTTCCAGACATGTTTTCTAGTGATTTTCCATAACAGAACAATAACCAACTTATGTTCTTCCAGACAGATTTTCTAGTGATTTTCCATAACAGAACAATAACCAACTTAAGTTCTTTCAGACAGATTTTCTAGTGATTTTCCATAACAGAACAATAACCAACTTATGTTCTTCCAAACAGATTTTCTAGTGATTTTCCATAACAGAACAATAACCAACTTATGTTCTTCCAGACAGATTTTCTAGTGATTTTCCATAACAGAACAATAACCAACTTATGTTCTTCCAAACAGATTTTCTAGTGATTTTCCATAACAGAACAATAACCAACTTATGTTCTTCCAGACAGTCTTTCAAGTGATTTTCCATAACAGAACAATAACCAACTTGTGTTCTTCCAGACAGTCTTTCAAGTGATTTTCCACAACAGAACAATAACCAACTTATGTTCTTCCAAACAGATTTTCTAGTGATTTTCCATAACAGAACAATAACCAACTTATGTTCTTTCAGACAGGTTTTCTAGTGATTTTCCATAACAGAACAATAACCAACTTATGTTCTTCCATACATATTTTCTAGTGATTTTCCATAACAGAACAATAACCAACTTATGTTCTTCCAGACAGATTTTCTAGTGATTTTCCACAACAGAACAATGACCAACTTATGTTCTTCCAGACAGTCTTTCTAGTGATTTTCCATAACAGAACAATAACCAACTTATGTTCTTCCGGACAGATTTTCTAGTGATTTTTCATAACCTAACAGTAATCAACTTTAGTTCTCTCACAGACAAGTCATCTAGTGATTTCCAACAACAATCAACTGAGGCCCAGGCTAAATCAAAATGAAATGTTTGGTGTTATAAAAATAAGCCCTGCCTATGTTTAACTTTCATGTAATCTATAGTTCTATAACATGTCAGAGAAATTGTGAAAAATAGTGTTAGAAAAAAAAACTTACTCTAACAATAAAAAGCAAGCTTCAGAAGTGAAAACACGTAATTTCTTTGTTCATTTCAAAAATATAATTTTTAATTTCGTCAGCCTTTAGTCATCTGTCAAAGCCACTTCTTCTGCTATAAATTATTACAATCGTTCGCTGGCTCCGAACAACTTCAAACTACTACGCTACCCTACCCTCATCACTTCAACATAATACCAAAACAGAAAAACTAGACTTCGGTAACATTCAGTGTAGCTGCACCAAAGGTTTCGAATAGGTACATTCAACAAAACCGTCTGACTGAAAGTGGCATTTGCTGTCATGACAACTACGAAAGGCTTTCAGTAAAAGTTTTCATTATTTCTCGGAATATGCTTCAAGCACAAAGCGAAAGTTACTTTTATTAACAATCGGAGGCAGAAGTCAATCGAGTGTTTTGAAATTCATCCGACAAAGTGACAGAGTTTTGGTGAGAAAATATTTTAGTGTCAGATAAGCAGACGTGTATTGAAATGTCAATTTTTCTATGTTCCAACATATGACATATATATATATATATGAATGTGTATGTGTGCATAATATACCATGTTTGGTTAAAATTCAAGTAAAAGATAACATCTTGTCACGAGGGAATACATAAAGTTTGAACTTGCGTGAAATATTCACTTCCAAAATATTAAAGTGCCTAGGTATAGAGAGACGTATTTAAGCTAGAACAAGCATTGGAAAGATATACGATATACTCTTTCTCTCTCTCTCTCTCTCTCTATATATATATATATATATATATTGTAGATAAAGCTATGTATAACTCAATAGAAAAAAAAGAGTACAACTTTTTTGTTGTTGTTATAGTTGTTTTAAGGTTTGTTATTTTGGTTGCATGGACAGTAAGTCACCCAACCTAAAAAAAAAATATAATAAAATTATCGATTTGTAGCTTAAAGGCCAACTAACACTC